ATAAAATAAAGAAAAAATTAAAATAAGATGACTTGCTGCTTTGGAGAGGAGGGAGGAGACTAACAGATAGTAAACCTGTGAGTTTGTAACCTCTATTTTTGCCCCAGATATCATCACATTGGTTGCTGTATCAGTTTTTAAAGCCTTATCACAAGACATAAAACCCTCCAGTAGAATTCTGTGGTTCTACTAGTTGGAAGTTGAACATCTTTGTGTCAAAACATGGTATAAGCCTTTATTTTATTTTGCTTTAATTATTTTTCATTTTCATTTTATTTTCTGAGTTGGAGTCTCACTATGTTACCCAGGCTGGGGTGCAGTGGCACGATCATGACTACTGCAGCCTTGACCTACTGGACTCAGGCAATCCTTCAGAGTAGCTCAGACTTCCAAGCAGCTGCAGCCGCAGGAGTGCACCACCATGCCTGGCTAAGTTTTTTTTTTTAATTATAGAGATGAGGTATCACCAAGTTTGTTTATTATAGAGATGAAATCTCATCAACCAGTGGCCCGATCATACTACCACAGCCTTGACCTACTGGGCTCAGGCGATCCTTCAAGTAGCTCAGACTTCCAAGTAGCTGGAATCACAGGAGTAAACCACCATACCTGACTAATTTTTATCTATCTGTCTGTCTATCTATGTATCTATGTATTATAGAGACGAGGTCTCACCAAGTTGTCCAGGCTGGCCTTGGACCCTTGGGCTTAGGTGTTCCTCTTGCCTCTGCCTTCCAAAGTACTAGAATTACAGGTGTGAGCTACCACACCTGACTGGTGTAAACTTTTTTTTTTTAAGGAAATATTATGATAGCCTTAGAGGTGAGTATATTAGTATTAGTATATTCATTGGTTAAATGTGTCTGAGAAAGCAAGCTTTGTGAAAGGACTGTGCTAAAGTAATGTAATTAGCCATCTTTCCGAGTTACTGAAGTAATTATTTTCTTCAAGCTTATTGCTTGATTGCCTGTTTAATTTAATTTTCCTTTTGTCACTTAAAAAAACCTGAAACAATTTGAAATTCCAAATTTCCCATGTGTAGGGGAGAATTATTAGAATATGAAAATATTTAGTTTGTATATTTACTTTCTTTCGCAACTATTCCAGGCCAAGAATAGCTAGAAATTAAACCTTTGAAATGACAGTTGCTCTCTACAAAAATTATGTCGTGAACATTTTCCACATTTGATGTCATTGAAAGTTGACTCTATCTTGGACCTTGGCTGTTGGTTACTGGAAGTACAAGAAAAATATTAGTGTGGGTATATTTTGTGGAGTCCTAGAATTGGAGAGGCTTTAGAGATGATCAAACCTAAATTTTTCAGGTTTTAGAGGAGGAAATTGAGTCCCAGAGAGACTAAGTAACCTGTTTATGTTTCAGAACTGTAATTTCCTTACAGGCTTCTTTCACCTATACCATGGCTCTTGAAGTCATTATCATTGTAAAACTAAGCTTGTGGATATCTGCTTAGCTTTTAAACTATTTTATTTTGTATTTATGTCCAAGTTAAATTTAGGTTTCTCTCTCTTGTTGGCGTATATTTTGTTTTTTGTTTACTTTGCGGATGTGCTAGTGAATTTTTACACTTAAAACCTTTTAGAATAATAAGAAACAAAGTGTCAGCACCCCTGCATCTTTATATCTATGACATAGTCTCTAAAATAAAGGAAATGGCATCTAAGTTTATATGTGCAAGTGTAAAATGTGATTACACTGTGCTTGTGGAACCATGAGTTCTGAGCCAGTAATAACTTTGGGAACCAAGGCTTATTTATAGATTAATGTCCTACAGCTAAGTGCCCAATGCAGCCTTCAGCCAAAAGCATCAGTAAGATAGTGGGATAGTTAATGTCATCTGAAAGGATAATGGAAACAAAACAGAAGCACTGTTCTGCCTTTATACAAAATTATAACACAATGGGATTATTTTGGCTTTATGAAGTCTTGGTATCTGAAAATGTACTTCAATCCTAATTACCACTTCTTAAAAAAAATGAACTAGAACTGAAGAGGTTAATCTAGACAATAAAATAATCATTGATGGTTAGGAGATATATCACTATTGTGCAATGAAATATTTTTTGGAAAATTGAAGTCTAATATGTGTTTTAAATACAAAGCAATCCTTGAACAACTACCAAAATACTATAAGAAAGGGATTGGCAGTAGTGGGAAAACAGCCAGGAGAGGGGGTAGAACATCTCATCAACAAAGGTACCTGCATAACGAACATTTGTATACCTAACCCTGAATTTTACCCCATATCTTTAAAATAAACAATTTAAAATAAATAAATAAATAAATACAAAGCAATCATTAAGTGGGTAGATTTTTTTAAAATGGGTTTATTTCCCTTTTTTTTTTTCTTTTTTTAATTTTTTTTGAGTTGGAGTCTCACTCTGTCACCCAGACTGGAGTGCAGTGGCCGCTTCCAGCCACTGCAGCCTCGACCTGCTGGGCTCCGGCGATCCTTCTGCCTCAGCCTTCCCAGTAGCCAGAATTACAGGCGCACGCTACCACGCCCAGCTAATTTTTTGATTTATTGTAGAGATGAGGTCTCGCCAAGTTGCCCAGGCGGGTCTCGAACCCGCGGGCTCAGGCAATCCACTCACCTCAGCCTCCCAAAGGTACGGGATTACAGGCTGAGTCACCGAGCCCGGCTTCCCAAATTCAGGACATACTAAAATGACCAGGCATTTTTTGAAGTTTGTCACATGAGTTTAGAAGAGATAAAAGGAAGCAAAACTGTCCCCAGGCTATGGCCAATTTACTGAATTCAACATCCTAAGTATCAGGTGAAAATGAAGAATTTTGAGAGGCTTAGATAAGTTCACGGATGTTTTCTTTATAGGAATTGAGAGAGTAAAAAGACATTGTAGAGGAGTGTATCCTTAACTTATTGCAGTTCAAGGAAAGCAGTCACATCATGTGGTGACATGAATATTTCGCTGAATAGACCAGGAGCATGATTCAGAGTGAAAATTCTTATGAGCAATAACAATCTTTTTTTATATCTCCCCTTTTTTTCCAATATAAGGGAAAGGAAACCTCAGTTGCATAAAGGTGGTGGGAAAATTATACTAGTTGAAAGTTTAGTGTTTTTGTTGAAAACTGTATGAAGGCCAACTAGTAAAGGGAAAATCGAAGGCAGCAAAAGGTGAAACTCAGAAACCTAGTAGTAATTTTGTATAAAATCTAGATTGAGCAATCATAAAAGTGTGAACATATTAATACAATGAGACCCATAGTGTTGTAATGATTTATTAATTATAAAATAGTAAAAATAAGGCTTTGGATACCTTAGAAGTCTATCATTTAAATTGGTCACCAAAGTTGCATATAAAAAATAAAAATAATAATGAAAATACAAGTATATTTTGAAAATATCTCTAAATCACTCACATCCCTTGACACCTAATCATAGTCTCACACAACGAACAAAGTAGATAGAAAGGAAACTGAATAAAAAGTTAATTCCATAACTAAGTAGTTAGAACTTGTGCAATTTTTTTTTTTTTGAGTTGGAGTCTCCCTCTGTCACCCAGGCTGGAGTGCATGGTATGCGCACAGTCACCCCAGCGTCAATCTGCTGGACTCCGGTGATCCTTCCGCCTCACCCTTCCAAGTAGCAAGAGCTACAGGCATGCACTACTATGCCCGGCTAATTTTTCTGATTTATTGTGGAGACGAGATCTCGCCAAGTTGCCTGGGCTTGTCTCAAACCCACTCGCTATCCACTTGCCTTGGCCTCCCAAAGTGCTGGGATTACAGGCTGAGCCACTGAACCCAGCCTGCAATTTTTTAAAAATAAGGTTTTCAGTTTAAGTTACACTTTGGAAGTGATGGCTCATACTGTGTTAGAAAAATAAATGCATTTAAAGAGGTTTCAGACTGTGATTAGTTTGTATGTGTGCAAGTATGCGTGCGTGTGTGTGTATAGGAATGGATTAGGAGACATGTCAATGTTAGGGAAGGCCTAGGAATATATTGCGTTGAGATACCCAGTACTGAACAAAATTGTGAATTATTATTTATTTAGATTATTTTGAGAAAAGAGGCATAGAGGAAGGACAACCGAACCTTTCTTTCCCTCTACTTTAGACTGACTCTAACTCCCTCTCCTGCTGAAGGAATTTACATGCTGTTCTAGGCATTGTCTTCTGAGTGAAGCAGTCTGTGTTCTGGACCTACTTTTCTGCCTTGCCCCATCCTGCATCCAGTAATATAACTGTTTATCCTTGTTTCTTAAGTATATTTTAAAAGATAAAACTTGTTTCTTAAGTATATTTAAGAACTCCAGTATTTTTCATCCTGTATTCAAGGAAAAAAGATATGGTAGTAGTTTAACAGAATCACCAAGATTGGGTAATACCTTAGTTTTAACTCATTTGTTATTGATTTTCATACTTTGTGTCTCTTCTCCACTTTTCAAATTCTAGAATCCATACCTTTAGCTTACTGAACTATGTTCACTATACACACAGTTTGCTTTTAAGCAAAAGCTTCAAGATACATTCTAGAACTCTTGAGTTATCTTTTACAAACAGTTGCCTGGTAAATAAAATACCAACCTAACTATAAGAAAATGTGGATTCCATTATTGCCTTTTTCCTACTGAATTGCTGGGAATGTAGGCACTTGATATTTGTTTATTTGAATTTACTGTGACCTTGTTACCATTCATTGCACTTATTTATACTAGTTTCCCAGCCCTGTTCTTATAGAATGTAGATTGAAAAGTATCACCCTTTAGAGATCAAGTTACAGAGTATTACTGTATTTTAGAAGAATAATATATTAACATATAGAAGTACAGAATTTTTTTTCTCTTGAGATTTATAGGAAGAGTAGAGGGACTAGTCTATGGACTGGATCTAAAACAAGACTAATAGACTTGAATTCAAGCAATTTCAGTAATTAAAAGTATACTGAATCTAATGAGATCTGGCACTTGGTTTTTCTAAAATGGATTATCCACTCCTATTTTTCTCCCCCACCTCCCACAGGAGCCCAGTTTCCTCCAATTGCAGCACAGGACCTTCCTTTTGTTCTAAAGGCTGGCTACCTTGAAAAGCGCAGAAAAGGTAAGCTGTAAGATTCTAATTAAAAATCTAAACATGGTTTCATTTTTAGATGAAACCCTCTTGCAGTTGTACATGTGGAAGCAATATTCTGTTTAGGTTACTAAGGAGTTTTAAGACTGTAAGAAAATCTGGATGATATTATTCAAAACCACAAAATATCACTTCTAGTTTTAAATAAATTTTAATAAGAAAACATCACATCAGGCTTCAGTTGTCAGCCTTGGTTATTTGTAAACGACTCAAGAGCTGTTCCCTGCCTCTTCTAGAAAAGCTGCAGGCCATGCTGTATTCTGGGAATGGGATTTCTCGCCATTATCTCACTCAGCTGAGCAGCAGGTTATCCTGTACCCGACCTGGCATACACCATGTCTGCTGTGGTTCAGACCAAGCCTGGCATCTTGTCTGCCATTGCCTATTATTCATTTCAGTGTTCCTCTCCATTGGCTATGATAATTGGGAGTTGACCATATGGTCTCACTCTTTCAACACCAGTATTTAATGGAAAGGAAATGTGGAGGTGGTGTTATGATATGAGAAATGAAAAGCAGAAATTCTTTTCATCACTATTCTGCTTATCTCCCAGGTAGTCCCCTGGGGCTTTCTGTGTCTATTCCATTTGCTTTCTTTAGCTTTCTTAGCTGAATTTTAAAGGTGAAAGAGATAATAGAACTAATCTAGGTCAGCTCCTCCCCCTTGTTTTTTCATCTTTTTATAATAGATGAAAAAACAAGACCCAGATGACTCCATAATATCAAGACTCTGTAGTCAGATGCCTTTGTGACTGCCCCTGTCAGGAAAGTTTGTTAGCCATGCAGTTGACCCTGTATGCGTGGCAGTCCCAGCTCTGTTTCACTTTACTCCTTTTAGCTTTGTTGGATTGTTGCTGTTTGTTTGCCTTTTGAAAAAGAAGATGCAAACTAATTAGTCATAGAATATTAGAGCTTAAAGATGCCTTACAAATCATATCAACTAACTTTTTCCTTTATAATAAAAAAATGGCCTTACATTTATATGCAACGTATATGATCTAAACTGTTCTTTTCCCTCCTTTGTTATAGATCACAGCTTTCTGGGATTTGAATGGCAGAAACGGTGGTGTGCTCTCAGTAAAACAGTATTCTATTATTATGGCAGCGATAAAGGTAGTGTTGGTGTTCAGTTATATCAATACTATTCTATGAGGGTTTTTTGGCCATGCCCCTTCCTTTTGGGTACAGAGTAAACTAAAGACAAATAGAGAAAGAATAACTGAGAATTTTAGCAATTATAGTCTAAGACTAATTTATAATTGTATTTCATTATTGACAATTGCTTCAAATTCCAGAATGCTCTCAAAGTTAATACAAATGTGTTTTATTGAATTAGGAAAGAGAGTAAAATTATTTTAATCTGTGTGGCCTTTCACCCTAGGAAATATCTATTACTCAGACCACATTGTAGAGTCTCTAGAAAAGATCATAGGATTGTAAGAGTTTTGAAGGCAGAAAAAGATATGATCTTCCACAAATATTTTAAAAGTTTAGATACAGTTAAATATGTACAACACCTTTCTCAACTCCCTTTATAGACTTAAGTAACAGCAGCAAACATATACACAGAATTTGCTATATACTGAACACCACTGTTCTAAGCACTTCAGCTAAGTATGTGAGTTATATTAACTCATTTAACTCACAATAACTCTATGAGGTAGTTACTTTTATTAGAGCCATTTTTCTTTTTTCTTTCTTTCTTTTTTTTTTTTTTTTTACTGTTAGGAAAACTAAGATTAGAGAGGTTGAATAACTTTTTCAAGGTCACAGAGCTGGTAAATGGCAAAAAGACAAAGGATTCCCGTCAAACTGTTAACAATGTTTACTTAGGGTAGGGAGAAGTGATTTTCACTTTTTAGTTTTGTGCACACCAGCAATATTTAAGTTTATTTCAGTAAGCATGCCTCATTTTTAAATAAAGATTTAAAATTAAGACTTAGCAATAATAAAAGAAAATGAACAAAAAAATAATAAACAATCAGCAGCAGCCCAGGCTGCTCTTCCCTTTTTTAGATTCTCTTTCAATAGTTTTTCATTCAATAGATGAAATTTCAAGAGGGATGGGAGAGAAAGAAGGAAAAGAAAATTGTGTGGTCTTGCTGTGTTGCCCAGACTGGAGTGCAGTGGCTATTCATAGGTCCTGTCATGGCACACTGCATCCTAATTCCAGGGTTCAGGAGTTCTTTTGCCTCAGCCTCTCAAGTAGCTAGGACTGCAGGTGCATGCCACTGCACCTAACTTAGATTTGGAATTTTTAACTTAGGCAGCATGGTTACAGTCCATGTTCTTGACCACTGTTGTCACTATATTAATTTAGAAATAATAAAATACATGTTGTAACTTTATTTATTAGTAAATAAATCTCTTAGCCATAGTTCACATAATTTTAAGTTTATTATTTAAACAAATAAAATCCACAAAATAATGAAATTAAAGAATGTAAGTTTTCTTTAGCCGGGCATGGTAGTACGTGCCTGTAGTTCCAGCTACTTGGAAAGCTGGTGGAAGGATTGTCTGAACCCAGCAAGTCAAGGCAGCAGTGGCCGTGAGTGTGCTACACTGCACTCCAGCCTGGGTGACAGAGTGAGACTCCAACTCAAATAAAAAGAATGTAAGCTTTCTAAGTTTTCCTTTTTTTCTAGGGAGAGCAGACTGGGAGTTGCATATTATAAAGCATAGGTCATATAAAAATAGACAACAATCATTTCCAGAAGGGACACTTGAAGAAGAAAAAAAGACATAAAAATTCAGTATAACTGAATAAGCTTTCTGATGGATTGGTTACTTATCAGTGTTGTTTGGAAATTTATGTTTTATTTGGCATTATTTGCAGTTCTTAGGGGTTTTTTTCCTTAAACATGCAGATAAGATTATTGTATTTCAAGGCACATTTGAAATATATAATGCTAGAAGTTGATCTCACTTTTTGGCTAATTCGATTAACAACTTAAGAATTAATTTAGTGTCTAGTTTGCATTCCATCACTAATTTACAGCGTGTTTCAGTATAATAATGGCATTAATGAAATATACACTGTAAGCAGCTATAAACAAGAAGGCCTTTTTCCTTCTGCTAAGGGTAAGTAGATGAAGTAGGTCAGAACATTTAGAATCCAATTTCAGTTATGATTGTCATAGATTATAAAATTTGTGCTACTATTATATAAATATAGTTTTGTACAGTATTTGAATTTAGATCAAGAACTTACCTCCCCCCAAACCCTCTTTAAAAAAAAAAATAGATCAGGTAAAGGTCTATGACTTTAGTTCAGTTAGGTCTCTCACTTCTAATTTCTTTAAGAATCAATGAATACTAATGTTAGTATTTCCTTTATTTCTAGTCCTGACCGGTATCACTGTGAGGCCAAAGATTAGCAAGTTTTCCCAAAACTCAAGACATGTTAGTATTTACTTCAAAGGCTGGCATTCAATAAAGAAATTCTATTTAGAATTTTTTGGATATTAGTTAAATTTTCATTTTTATTCTTATCTGATGAGACCTTATGGTAGTAAAATTCTTTGCAATTTGTGTTTTAACAACTTTATGATCAATTTAGCTCTGTCACTTCCACTTTTTAAAATTACCATTCTAGTGTTCCTTTTTCATGTTGATATTTGAAAATCTGACTTGTATTTCCTTAAACTTGTCCTTATCTGTTACTCCTCAGTCTCCTGTTTCCAGTGAAATTTCAGATCTGTTTCTAGTGGTTCTATTCTCTTTCAGCAGTTTCCTTCATAATTCTCAACCAATTCTTCTCCTTTTAGGGTCTTCGAAAAAAAGATCTGTCTTTAGACAGTTTTTAGTTGCTTGTTTTGCCCGAATCTGGTTTCCTTTCTTTATATCTTTTTCTTTCCAAAAAAAATGTGTCAAATGTATATATTTTTAAAGTTAGATAGCTGATTTGTACAGCCTTGTGTACTACATGTGTGAACGATTTACCTACACTTTGGGAAGAGCTCATATTTAGATATATGAGAACTATAATCCTCAACTAAGTAGGATTTAGATAAATGGATTATAGAGGCACAGAAGGAGTTGATACCACTTACTAGGTTAAACTGTGCTTTGTTACTATTTGACAGATACATTAGTTCACATTTTCTACCTTATTGTGTGTGCCACAAAACATATTGACCTATCAAGATAGTAATGGCTTAGAAAGAGTAGTTCCATCCTCTAGGGTAAATAATGCACTTACCTTTGTACCCATAAATATTGTCTGTATTTATTATTCATAGCCATTTGGGGCCCTTAAGTAACAAATATATATAGTACATATCTTATCACCTTATGAAATCACATCCATTCTTCCATCTTCTTCCTTTTCCTTTGATTGTCATGAGTCTCATCATCAAACTTCTTAAGTCCTGGGTGTTGACATCCCTCAGAGCATTAATTTATTCACTCACTAATTTATTCGTTTTTAAAAATTCAATTAACATTTTTGGACACTTGGTAGATAGTAGACATTGGGGATTCAAAGGTCCTTAGACATGCTCACAGTTTGGGTTGTATGAATATCAGTGAAAGGAAGAGAGGATGCTGTGGGGTTGGAGGTGGGAGCTAGGCAGATAAACCGGTTGTTTCAATGTGATACAGTAAATAATTTAAATAAGATGTCTTTGGATCACAAAAGGGGAAAAGCCAACTGCCTAAGAAAGTAAGGGAATACTTCCTGGTGGACAAGACACTTCACTGGGTCTTAAAGAATCAGTAGGAGTTTGTTTGGTGAATGCTATGGTTTGTATATGTGTCCCTTCAAAATTCATATATGAGAACTTAACTCCCAAGGAGATTGTTTTAGGAGGTGGGGCTTTTGGGAGGTGATTAGGCCATGATTAGGCCTTATAAAAAAGGCTAGAGCAAACTCTGTAGTCCCTCTTTTGCCTTTCTACCATGTGAGGACAGCATTTGTCTCCACTGGAGGACAAAGCAACAAGGTGCCTCCTTGAAGCAGAGAGCAGCCCTTACCAGGTGCTGACCCTGCTGATGCCTTGTTCTTGAACTTCCTAGCCACCAGATTGTGAGAAATATTCTTGTTTATAAGTTACCCAATCTTGGGTGTTATAGCAGCACAGACTAAGACAGTAAAGAGGGTAAAATGGGCTTTACAGACAAAAGAATAGCAGAGATTCTCCGTGGAGAAAGGCCATGGATAGGATCAAAGCTAGGGCATGGAATGAGTGAGGGGAGGGAACACAGAAGACTAAAGGAGTGGATTAAGTCAGATAGATAAGAACCTTCTAGAATAAGGGCCTTGCTAAAGATTTTATTTTGAATATTACCTTTAAACAGAGGGCTATATGACCAATTTGGTTTTTAGGAAGTAATTATGATAGTATTGCAGAGGATGGATTGGAATGGATAGAGACTGGGTCAACAGGACCATTTAGGAGGACACTGAGTTAGTCTAAGCAAGAGAGGTTAACATAGGAATGTTGAGAGTGAGGATTTAATGCAGACTCTCTGGCTCCAAAGCTATGCTTCTTCCACATTTTGGTGATTGTTATTGAGTCCTCCAAGGTGCCCATAAATGATGGTCCATTTAGGAACCTGTTCCAAACTCATGATTTTTTAAAAAATTTTGTATTTATCCCCTATATGGTCTTGAACCAACATTATGATATGAACTTTAACGCTTCCCATTTTTGAGAGAGGGATTGTTAGTTCTTAGCACCTCTTTTCAGGGCTTTTGCTGCCCCCCCATTAAAGAATATTCCAGCACCATCTGGTGTCAAGTACAAGTAAGCATTGGTCCTACCAAGTTATTCTAAATGTATACCAAAGTTATTTATTATATCATGTGATTGGGATTTTATATTAGAATATATTTTCAATGTATAATAAAAGTCAGTAGAAAATCAGACTTATTGCAGATAATTTAATATAACAAAACTTTCAGAACTTGGCAGGGAAATAAAATTTTTCATTGAAATTGACCTCTGAGTCCTCTCACTTCTTTACAGTTTTGCCATTGATAGAAAAAAAAAGAGGACATATCTGTTCAGTTTGAAAATTATAAAGCATATTTAGATGCTGAAAAAGTATTGTTGTTCTCTTTTAATGTGATTTTGAATATGTTAAATTGTTTATATTTGTATAATTAGAAG